TCTGGTCTCTCTCTGGTCTCTCTCTGGTCTCTCTCTGGTCTCTCTCGGGTCGCTCCGGTCTCTCTCTGGTCTCTCTCTGGTCTCTCTCTGGTCTCTCTCTGGTCTCTCTCTGGTCTCTCTCCGGTCTCTCTCCGGTCTCTCTCTGGTCTCTCTCTGGTCTCTCTCTGGTCTCTCTCTCTAGTCTCTCTCTGGTCTCTCTCCGGTCTCTCTCTGGTCTCTCTCTGGTCTCTCTCTGGTCTCTCTCGGGTCGCTCCGGTCTCTCTCTGGTCTCTCTCTGGTCTCTCTCTGGTCTCTCTCTGGTCTCTCTCTGGTCTCTCTCTCTGGTCTCTCTCTGGTCTCTCTCCGGTCTCTCTCTCTGGTCTCTCTCTGGTCTCTCTCTGGTCTCTCTCTGGTCTCTCTCTCTGGTCTCTCTCTGGTCTCTCTCTCTGGTCTCTCTCTGGTCTCTCTCCGGTCTCTCTCCGGTCTCTCTCTGGTCTCTCTCTGGTCTCCCTCTGGTCTCTTTCTGGTCTCCCTCTGGTCTCTCTCTGGTCTCTCTCTGGTCTCTCTCTGGTCTCTCTCTCTGGTCTCTCTCTGGTCTCTCTCTCTGGTCTCTCTCTGGTCTCTCTCTGGTCTCTCTCTGGTCTCTCTCTGGTCTCCCTCTGGTCTCTCTCTGGTCTCTCTCTGGTCTCTCTCTGGTCTCTCTCTGGTCTCTCTCTGGTCTCTCTCCGGTCTCTCTCTGGTCTCTCTCTGGTCTCTCTCTGGTCTCTCTCTCTGGTCTCTCTCTGGTCTCTCTCTGGTCTCTCTCTGGTCTCTCTCTGGTCTCTCTCTGGTCTCTCTCTCTGGTCTCTCTCTGGTCTCTCTCTGGTCTCTCTCTGGTCTCTCTCTGGTCTCTCTCTGGTCTCTCTCTCTGGTCTCTCTCTGGTCTCTCTCCGGTCTCTCTCTGGTCTCTCTCTGGTCTCTCTCTGGTCTCTCTCGGTCTCTCTCGGGTCTCTCTCTGGTCTCTCTCTGGTCTCTCTCCGGTCTCTCTCTGGTCTCTCTCTGGTCTCTCTCTGGTCTCTCTCTGGTCTCTCTCTCTGGTCTCTCTCTGGTCTCTCTCTCTGGTCTCTCTCTGGTCTCTCTCTGGTCTCTCTCTCTGGTCTCTCTCTGGTCTCTCTCTCTGGTCTCTCTCTGGTCTCTCTCTCTGGTCTCTCTCTGGTCTCTCTCTGGTCTCTCTCTGGTCTCTCTCTGGTCTCTCTCTCTGGTCTCTCTCTGGTCTCTCTCCGGTCTCTCTCTGGTCTCTCTCTGGTCTCTCTCTGGTCTCTCTCGGGTCGCTCCGGTCTCTCTCTGGTCTCTCTCCGGTCTCTCTCTGGTCTCTCTCTGGTCTCTCTCTGGTCTCTCTCTGGTCTCCCTCTGGTCTCTTTCTGGTCTGAAACGAACTCTAACATCAAAGTGTTGTTGTAGATGGAATAAAAGCAGAAACCCTGAGCCCTGGACCCAGCTGGAGCCTTCGTACCAGTACAAGGTCAGGACCATGTGAACACATACAGACCATGAGACGTTTTAGCGTGTGACATCACAGAGGGAGGGGCCACCAGATAGAGGGGCCATCAGAGGGAGGAGCCACCAGAAGGAGGGGGGGCCAGAAGGGGCGGGGGGACTGTATCTGTGCCAGGAGTTAATGGTGAGCCTGGATAGATCTAAAAACCAGTCCAGGTCTGTGACCATGTGTTTTAAAGGAGACACTTCATGTGTTCACAGTTCGCCTCCATCACCACAGACTACAAGAACCTCAAGAAGGAGGGGCCCGACTTCTGAACTAGGCCTGGACCTGGTCTAGACCTGGACCTTTTCCAGGAGAAAACAGATGTAATTTCACTAAAGCAAATGTATCATTATAATATATTCACAACAGAAATAATTATAATAAGTGTTACACTGAGACCTGCTTTAGACCTGCTTTAGTCCTGCTTTAGTCCTGCTTTAGACCTGCTTTAGTCCTGCTTTAGTCCTGCTTTAGACCTGTTTTAGTCCTGCTTTAGTCCTGCTTTAGACCTGCTTTAGTCCTGCTTTATTCCTGCTTTAGACCTGCTTTAGACCTGCTTTAGTCCTGCTTTAGACCTGCTTTAGTCCTGCTTTAGACCTGTGACAGACCTGCTTTAGACCTACTTTAGAACTGCTTTAGTCCTGCTTTAGACCTGCTTTAGACCTGCTTTAGTCCTTCTTTAGTCCTGCTTTAGACCTGCTTTAGTCCTGCTTTAGACCTGTGACAGACCTGCTTTAGAACTGCTTTAGTCCTGCTTTAGACCTGCTTTAGACCTGCTTTAGAACTGCTTTAGTCCTGCTTTAGACCTGCTTTAGACCTGCTTTAGTCCTTCTTTAGTCCTGCTTTAGACCTGCTTTAGTCCTGCTTTAGACCTGCTTTAGTCCTGCTTTAGACCTGTGACAGACCTGCTTTAGACCTGCTTTAGAACTGCTTTAGTCCTGCTTTAGACCTGCTTTAGACCTGCTTTAGACCTGTTTCAGATCTGTTTCAGACCTGCTT